CTTTGGCTTCTACTATTGGTGTTTTTTCAAATAGAAATAAAAACATGATTGGTATTATCCCTGGTAAAATAATAAAAATAATTAGAATAAAAACTTTTAAAATTAAAAAATTATTATTATCAGAGAAATTCCCTTTTCCAATACCTTTATGTTTTCACCCAATCTGATGCTATGGTCGTTTTCCTTTTGTCATTTAAAATGCTTTCCTTGGCATGTTTTTTTTTCTTTTTTACATTTAAATCAACAACCTGCCTGTTAGATAAATCTTTGACGTGTATTAAATGATTATTATTGCCCAAAAACGTAGAATTACTAATTTTCTCTTCGTTTTCTTTTTCTTTCAATTTAATCCAAGTATCACCCAATGCTTTTGCAAAATGGTCATCAACTGCAAAAACAAAATGTTTTAATTACTGAACTTAAAAACTTATTTAAAATTTAAAAAAAAAAAAAATATATATATATACATACCAGTTAAACCTATTGATTCTGATTCAGAATTTTCTGATTTATTTAATTCTTTGCAATCTTTGGAAAATATGCTTGAATATTCTTTACCAAGAGACCGCCTAAAATGTTCATCTATGGCAGGATCACTCACATCCTCTGAAAAATAACATCAACATTAAGTAAAACACAATAGCTTTAATTATGAGTAATTAAAAAATAATAATAATAATAAAAGTAATTTAAAAATTGAATATGAAGAAAATTTAAATTTAAAATTATTGCATTTTTCATTAACTTTACTTAAAAGGTAATATTAATGTTGATGTTGTATTTGAAGACACATAAAAATCATTATACCTGTTGGGGTAGACTTGGATATTAACTCGGAATCACAAGAATTTGTCAAATTTTTTGCACTTGAATAGGCCGCACACACAGTTTGAATCACAGAAGGTCTTGACATTTTATTCTGTATTGACTGGTCATAGGAAGGAGGTGGTTTTAAGTTGCTATTCCGTGTAGAAAAATCTAAGGGAGCATCAACTACCTTATGATTTATAATTTGCCGCCTTTCTCGCCTCCATTTTGCACAAGGCATTTCTTTTGTTGAATAAGACCTTGATTCATCTGGAAAATTTAATTTTAATTATCCACATATGACTTAAATTCATTTCGATTTAATATTATTTGAAAATGAATAAAAAAAAATTTAATCAAATATTTTTTTGTAAAACTTTCGAAGATGATTCGTAAAAATTCAGACAAAAGATAAAAGCTTACCATAAGTAGGAGGACTGACCATGGTGGCTGCTCTGGATAGAACATCTAAAGGTGACTCTTCTGTATCCATTGGTTTCTTTTCTAAAATAAATGTAAATAAAATAATAAAATAAATAGCAGTTTACACCGAAAAAAAATTTTGAAGTAAGAAGCTTTATGTATTTTTAGTAAATATCGTAATATAAGTATTACATAATATTATGTAAAAGTAATAATATAAAGTTAAATTATGTACATAATAATTTATAGTAATATCTGTATTTTAATATAGATTTAAATTTATATTTTATTAAAAATTAAATAATTAATTAAATTAAACTGTTTTACTACTAAGTAAAAAATTTTTATTTATTTATTTTTATTCTGTATATAAATACGAATTGAAAGCAAAGAACAATGCAATTTAAAATCAAAACAAATTTTAAAAAGGTATTTAAAAAATTTTTTTTTTTTTTTGCAAATTAAAAAAATGCATAATCAAAACATAAGTATAAAAATATTATTGTTAAAAATACCTTATATATAGCACACTGAATTCCAATACAATTCTACATCACACTTATAAAGTCCTCATTTCAAGGAATTTAATGTAGTATAATGAATATGACTGTACTATGAAGTTCTTTTGTTATCTAAAAAACAAAAATTTTTTAAATAAAATGCTGTAAAAACTAAAATGTATATAAAATTCACAAAAACAGTATAGTCTAGATATATATATATATATATTATTTTAATCTAGGAAAAATTAATATAGGAGAATATTTAATAAAAATATTTTAAAATATAATTTTTTAAAATAAGTACGATAAAAATTCGACTCGTAAACATGCAATACTAAAAAAGAAAGAAATGTAAAAAATACATTCTTAGTATTTCACTTAATTTATTTTAAAATCAATTTTATTAACTTTTTATGTACTTACATATAATTTCCTTTTTAATTTTTAAAACTCTCAAAAAGTGTCTTTAAACTTCCAACATTTTTTTAATAATAAATAAATATTTTTGGAAATTTTCTCCGAGTTTAAACATTTGAGAATACAAATTTCATAGCAGAAAACACCTAAAATTTAAAAGCTTCAATTTTATAATTTGAATTAAGTAAAAGATAAAATGTTCAATTATTAGTACACAAAAACTCAAATTCCTTCAGTTCCAACAAAAGAATAAAATAAAGCTTAACTTTCATAATTTTGTGTACTAAAATTTTAGGAGGGTTGCACAGAAAACTCAAATTTGTTTACAATAATTATATTATTATTATAGTTTTTAAAATGTATAAATGATTTTTCTATTATACTAAGTTTATTGTATTGATAAATAAGAAAATTACAAACTGGTTTGAACTGATAGCAGCAAGAGCTAGGTGTTTTCAGTTAAACAATAAAACCTACTTTGTACTCAACTTCCGAAAAATTTTTTATTTAAATACTGTAATAACACACTAAAGGTTTGAAACTCAAAACCAAATTCCTTGAGCACCACGCGCATGAGGGTATGACCCACCCGTGATATTGATTTTTGTCAAACAATAAATTTTTTACGTAATAACAAAGTGTTTTTATTTATTACTTATCCTTACCTGGAGTAAAAGTAATTTCTAAAACGAATTATAATAACGACTGCAAGCAAATTTATTCCAAATTTATCAGATTCTTCAGCATTTTGCAGGCTTGTACACTTGACAATTTGCCCAACGACATTTCGGAATGTTTGGAATCTAAGGAATGTTTTTGATAAACCTGGCGGAAAACTCGTCAACTATTCCTTTACCATTGAAATATTTTGCAGTCACTATCAATCAGTTAGTCTCTTTAAACAATTACCGGTCAAGGATATACGAGTATTTTATTCCAAAAAACCAAAAAAAAAAAACAAAAAACAAATTAAATTTAAGAAAAAAAAATTTATATATATTAAATCATATTAAAATAACATAAAGGAATATTTTATTAAACATTATAATATGTTTTAAATTCACTTTCATCTTGACCTACATACCACATATTTTTTTAAGTATTCGAAATTAATAAACTTTTTTAAATTACTACCATCAATTTATTAAATTAATAATTTTTTTTTCAAATATTATTACCAGATTTTATATTTATTATACTGTTAGTAATTTTAACCACTTAGTTTTTTTATTTTATTTTTAATATTGCTCATTTGATTTATCATTTCATGATTTGAAATAAGACACTAAAATCCAATAAGTTACTGAAATTTTACTTTTTGATTTTTTTTTTTTTTTTTGATGTTATTGTAAATACAAAAAAAAAAAAATGAAATGATAAGGATTGATGTTATTGAACTTGAAAGCAAATAGCATAAATATGTTAATCTCATCCAAAAATTACGTCGAAATACCTTATTTAATTTTAAATTAAAATTAAGTCTTTTACGTAAATAAAATTCATTTTACAAAAATTTTTACTTAAAAAACAAAAAAAAGTTGTGAAACTTTTAAAAATTTAAATAGTTTTTACAAACTCAATTTTAAATTTAAATACTTGTAATTTTTTTTAAATTTATTCATTTATATGAAATCTGTTTTCAACAAAAATAAATAAATCAATTTTAGAAAAAAAATATTTACTATCACATTATTTAAATTAAAATTTATTTGGTAGTAATTTGTAAACCATTAAAAATTAAAATATGATTGAAGTGTTAATATAAAAAGAAAATGCTTCAGTTATTAATAAATTAAAAAATAAAACAAAAAATTAATTTTAAAATTATTTCATTAAATATAATTTATATTTAATATATTTATTTTAAATGAAGTAACATAAATTACGCATTTAAAACAAATGTTTGTATTTAAAAAAGTAATAATTTATAAGAGGAAAAATTAATAAAGATAACATATATCAAAACATAAAGACCGTTATGTTAGGATAGCCAACTTTAGAAAACATGGTTCCTTAAAGTAATACTATTACTTTATTAATTGTTGAGTTGGCATTTAGCAAGCAAGTAGCAAAATGTAAATTTCGTGTGAGATATTGTGAATGCTCAAACAAATGTATCAAACTCAATTTTGATAAAAGTTATAAAATGTTATAGAATGACGTCAAAAGATTTATATAGCAAGGTAGTAAAAATTTGAAATTATTTATATTATACTCGTACTTTTCAGCGTTTAATGTTATTATTATTATTTATTTTTTTTTTTTATATATACTACTGATCGATACACTTTTACTTTAACATACTTTCGGTTATCATTTATTTTGTATTTAATGATAGCTGTCACATGCTGGCCGCAAAAAATTTTTTAACATTTTAAAAAAAGATAAATTATATTTATTAAAAAAATTTTTATATTTTCGGCCTTTGATTACATATTACAAATTTTCTGAGCAAATAATAATTAGAAAAAAAAAATTAAAATTTTTTTCCGTTTGTTTACTAATTAAAAAATAAATCTATTCTATCTTGATTTTATTAACAATATATTATTTATGTTATTATTAATTGCCGTTTATTTTATTAATATTATATTACTTATTCACTATTTAGCCAAAAAAAAAAAAAACTTCATTTGTTTAAAAAGATTTTTGATATACACAAAAAAAATTTTATTTAAGTAAATTGATTCATTAATAAACTCATTTGATTCATATTACTGATTCAAAAATTTATCATTGAATGCATTCACATACATATTATATTTTCAGATTATAATTTAAATTAGTAACAATTTAAAGGAAATCCTTTTAGATACTCTTTTCTTTTTATAGAAAAAAATTAATAAAAAAAAATTATAAATTTTTATATTTTTTTAGTTATACATGTAATTTTTTAACATTTAAATTTAAAAAAGGTTTATAGGATTATTTCAAGTAGAAATCATAATTGTGTTTGTAATTGTTTTATTGTTTTAAGTCTTTTCTTTTGTTATTTTAATTTTTATTGTGTAAGCATTAAAAAGAAAAGTGATATTTACTGTTTGAAATATTATAAATTTTCAATGAAACTTGTATATTTATCTTGAATGAAATATTTTTTTCTTTAGGGTTCGCAAGTTTGGGTTTCACACCCAACTTTGGTATGGGAACCTGCAGAAATAACATCGGATTACAATAATAACGAATTGGAAATTGAGTTTGAAGATGGTAGAAAAAAAATAATTAAAATAGAATCAGAAAACAGTCTTCCACCTCTAAGGAATCCTGAAATTCTCATAGGAGAAAATGACTTAACGGCTTTAAGTTACTTACATGAACCTGCAGTTTTACATAACTTAAAATATAGATTTTGCTCCTTATATACAATTTACACCTATTGTGGTTGGTAAATTTAAGAAAAATTAACATAAATTTTAAGAGATTTTTTTTTTTTTTTTATAAGTAACACTAACTGTGTGTAATTTTCTTGTGCAGCACTTAAACTGACTTTTTTCAGGTATAGTTTTAGTTGCCATTAATCCATATGATGAACTTCAAATTTATGACAACGACACCATTTTGACTTATCGTGGCAAAAGTCAGGGTGATTTGGATCCCCATATTTTTGCTGTAGCAGAAGAAGCTTATGCCAAACTTGAAAGGTAATTAGAAATTAGAAAAGTTTGCTTAAAAATGATACTTATGCACTGAAACATTTTTGCTTCCAAAAAAAAATGTCTGTGTTAAGTTTGGGTTTTGGTCTGAATTTTGTGGCTTAATCGAAATTTTTATAAATTCTAACCCAGCAATTAATTATTATTATTATTATTATCAAGCTATTAATATATGAATTCACTATAAAATATCCTTCACATTTGCAACATAATTTATATATTTAACATTAGGGAAGGAAAAAATCAATCAATTATCGTTTCTGGTGAATCCGGCGCTGGAAAAACGGTTTCCGCTAAATATGCAATGCGATATTTTGCTACCGTGGGAGGTTCATCGGAAGAGACGCAAGTTGAGAAAAAAGTATTATCTTCCAGTCCTATAATGGAGGTTAGTATATGAAACCCCTAATACTATGTAAAAATTCAAAAAATTTCAAATTACAAATAATATTTAACAATATTCAAATCGTTACTTGAATTTACTAAGAAAAGGTCAATAATTAAGTTATCATTCTTTTATCATTAGTATACTAACAAAGTCATAAATTATTGTAAAATTATATTAGTTTTGAATTTTTTAGATTATATCAATGCAGGCTTAATTCCAAATTTTCATAATCATAGTTATTAATTAATAAGTTTAAATTTTTTTCTAGGTATCACATAGTCGCTTATTCAAAACTTGGTAAGATTTTTTCGAAGTGTGAACATGTCTGATATAAATTAACTTTGGTGGCATTTTTCATTTGTTTGAAACTAAATATAATACACATACTCTTTTTATTTGCTTTTAACAATTTATTTTTATAAAAGATTGTTACTAACGACAAAACATTTAATTATTATTTTTATTTACAGAATATTGCAGGAAAAAAAATATAAACCATTAAACTACTTTGATTCTAATTTTAAAAAAAATTTTTTTTTTTTTTTTTCATAGGCAATTGGAAATGCTAAAACAACTCGAAATGACAATTCATCAAGATTTGGAAAATTTATAGAAATTAGATTTAATAAAAATTTTCATATTGTCGGTGCTTCAATGAGAACTTATTTATTAGAAAAGAGTCGAGTGGTTTTTCAAGCTCCTTCAGAAAGAAACTATCATATATTTTATCAGTTGTGTTCAGCTCGTGATAAGCTACCCTACTTACATTTAGGTTTGAATATCATTACAATTTTTGACTTTTTCAAAATTTTCATTGTTTTATGACGTAAAAAATCAAATTTTAATTGCAGATCACGAAGATAAATTTTTGTACTTAAATCAGGGAAAAAGTTCAACTATCGAAGGGGTAAATGATTATAATTTATTTGAAGAAACTCTACAAGCCTTAAATATATTGGGATTTAATAGGTCCGACCAAGAAAATATGTTTAAAATATTGGCGGCAATACTACATCTAGGTAATGTTATCATAAATAAGGAAGATGAAGGAAGTAGCATAAAGGTAATTTAAAAAGTTTTTTTTTTTTTTAATTAGAAAAGCAGTATGCTTTGGGGGGGGAGGGAGGGGAAAACTAAAAATATCTAAAGTTAATTTACAATCCTTAATTTTTTCAAATTATTGTTATTACTTTATTGTTGATTTCAGGTAGATGATCCTCATTTGAAAATATTTTGTAATTTACTTGAATTAAATTCGGATCAAATGAGGCAATGGCTGTGCCAGCGAAAAATAACGTCTATGAGAGAAGTTTTCAATAAGCCAATGTCGATACACGAGGTGAATTTACATTTTCGTTTATTATTTAACATGAAAAAAATTTAATAGAAATATTAAAGTTGCATATTAATATTTTGTAGTCGACATCAGCCAAAGAAGCTTTATCGAAACACATGTATGCTCAACTTTTTGATTGGATCGTCACGGTTATAAATAATGCTTTGGAAAATTCGAGAGACAAAACTGATCACAAAATAATCGGAGTTCTCGATATATACGGATTTGAAACATTTGAAATTAATAGTTTTGAACAATTTTGTATAAATTATGCAAATGAAAAATTACAACAGCAATTCAATCAGGTAAATAATTTTCCACGTTTGTTATACTGTGCTGCAATTTCATATGTCAAAAAAAAAGATAATTTATTTATTTATAACTTGACTTTTTTTTTTTTTTTTCACTGTTAGCATGTTTTTAAGTTGGAACAAGAAGAATATTTAAAAGAGGAAATTGAATGGAAATTTATAGATTTTTATGATAATCAACCATGTATAGATTTAATAGAGAGTAAACTCGGTGTTTTAGATTTACTCGACGAAGAATGCAGAGTTAGTAATGCTCAAAAATTAATTCTAAATTACTTTTATTTACTACTTCCATATTACTTATCATTAGTAAAATTTTTGTACATACTCACTTTCAGATGCCAAAGGGCAGCGATTTCAGCTGGGCTGAAAAATTGTATAAAGCATGTATCAAGTACAAACACTTTTCGAAACCCAGATTCGGGGCTTCATCATTCATTGTTCAACATTTTGCCGACTCCGTTGAATATCAAGTTGATGGCTTCCTGGATAAAAATAGAGATTCTGTTATTGAAGAGCAAATCAATGTGCTTAAAATGTCTCGGGTATTGCTCCTATTTTTAAATAAATTTATTTGTAACATGAGTAGTGTTATGTAAATTTAAAAAAAATTACTTTTTCCAGAATGAAAGCGTTAAAAAACTATTTGGTAAAGATGAAAATGAGACGCCGCAGGGACGTGTCAAAATAACTCCTTCAAAACCTGTAATGGAAAAATCAAAGCATAAAAAGACTGTGGGATCTCAGTTTCGAGATAATTTAAACTTGCTCATGACAACTCTTAACGCTACCACTCCGCATTATGTGCGTTGCATAAAACCAAACGATTTTAAAAAAGCTTTCGATTACAATCCTCAAAGAGCCGTTCAACAACTGAGAGCGTGTGGAGTCCTTGAAACTGTGAGAATAAGCGCTGCAGGATTTCCTTCCAGGTATTCGAACGAAGTATAGTAGATAAAAAAAAATTAACGGTTTCGGTCATTGTGATAAAAACGTGTTTATTTTTTAGGTGGTTATACAATGACTTCTTCGCCAGGTACCGAGTTTTATGTAAATTTAAAGATATAAACAGATCGGACATGAAAGCCACGTGTAGTAAAATTTTACTAAATTACATTACGGTAAGTTATGCTTATACGATTAACAAAATACATAATATACATTTTTTTAAAAATATGATTGACAAAAAAAAAAAAAAATTTACTTTCTAGGAACCAGATAAATATCAATTTGGAAAAACAAAAATATTTTTCCGAGCTGGACAAGTTGCTTTTTTGGAAAAACTGAGAGCTGAAAAACTCAAAGAATATTGCATCATAATACAAAAACAAATCAGAGCTTTTATTCAGAGAAAAAAATATTTGAGAATAAAACATTGCATTTTTCATTTACAAAGATACATTCGTGGATATTTGGCTAGAAAGTAATTCATTTAAAAATTTTACCTTTTATTTTATCCTTACGCGATTGTTTAAATTCTCTCTTTTTTCGACATTTTTTTTTTTTTTTTTTTTTTTTTAGGCATGCATTATTCCTGAAACAAACAAAAGCTGCTACAACCATGCAGAGATACGTAAGAGGATGGATTGCTCGAAATCAATATGTATACCTGAGAAATATAATTATTGGAATTCAAACACACATAAAAGGATATATTGCAAGGAAGAAGTATAAGGAAATGTATTACAATAAAAAGGTTTTTATAAATATTCATAATTTACTTAAACGAAAATAATTTTGCAATTATCATGTCATATCGAAAAGGTTATAAATTCGAATTTGAACTTGAAATGATTTTTTTTGTTTTGCGTAGGCGATTATTATTCAACGACACGTGAGAGGATTTCTCGCTCGTAAAAAGTATAAAAAAGATCTCAATCGCATCATTATTTGTCAAAATGCCGTTCGAAGATTTTTTGCCAAAAAGAAATTGAAAGAACTCAAAAAGGAAGCAAGATCCGTCGAACACGTTAAAAAATTAAATAAAGGATTAGAAAATAAAATTATATCACTCCAGCAAAAAATTGGGGAACTGGTAAGAAAATAAATAATATTTTCGATAAAAACAAAAAAAAAAAAATTATTAAAATTTTTTTTTTTTTACATTTTGATTTAGGCAAAAGAAAATAATGTACTTAAAACGTTTCAAAACGAATGTAACGAACTCCGTGTTAAATTGGACGCTTTGAAAAACGTTGAAAATGAAATGAAAAAAGCCATGAATCATTTGAACGAAAAGGAAAAAATAATAAATAATTTGAATGAGAAAATAATACAAGAGCAAAATGAAAAAATGGACGCTTTGGAAGATGCGAATAAGATAAAAGAAACGTTGAACAAATTTATGGATCAAAATAAAAATTTAAAAGCCGAATTGGATTCCATAAACGAAAAAATAAAGAAAAATCAATTCGGCGTTGAAGGTATGATGATGATACGGAAATGATTAAACCGGAAATGTTGTAAAAAATTAAAAATATCAATTTAATCGCTAAATTATTATATTTTAGAAAATATAAAAGCCAGGATAGAGCAAGAAAAAACGATTCTTATTCACGAACACGAGCAAGATTTGGAAAATTATCAAAAATTGTTGAAAGAATACAGTTCGTTGGAACAGAAAAATGAACATTTGGAAAATCTTATTGAAAAATTGACTTCCGGTCATTCGAGATCACCGAGCGAAGCAAGTTCATTACATTCTAGTCGGACATCGACCGAAGTTGAAAACGATGTAATTAGAACCTTAATTCATTTTTAAAAAAAAAAATTTCGATTTTTTCCAAACGATAACAACAAATAATTTGTAATTTTTAGGATTTCGGATACTCATCTAATAAATCGACAATTTCTCGAAAAGACGATTTTGACACACTGGAAAAAGATCGTTCGATTTCGGAGTACAACACGATGAGATTAAACAATCAAACGAAAGAGGTTCCGGATATCGATGTAGGTTTAGTTTTAAAATTACAACAAAAATTAAAAGACGTCGAAAACGAAAGAGATAAATTATTTCTCAAAGTTGAAAGTTTGGAAAAGGAAGATAGTCCCACGGAAGAAAGACAAAGAACGATGGATTCCATTAGGGTAATTATCATGTATGAAAAATCATGCGTTCCAGAGAAAAAATTTATACATTCAAGTATTGAAATTTTTTAAAGTGATTTGACTTGTTTTCAAATTTTTGATTTTTTTTTTTTTAAATTTTTAAATTTTTAATTAATAACAGTTTTTGTTTTGGAAAAAAAAAAAAAAAAAAAAAAAAAATATTTTGAATTGATTTTAATAAATTGAAAAATATAATTTACATGAAAAAAAAAAAAGGGAAAAATTTTAACATAAAAAAAAAAAAAAATATTATTGGATTTGTTCCCGTTTTTTTTTTTTTAAAAAGTAATTTTATCAAAAAAAATTTTTTTTTTTTTTGTTACAAAAATATTTTTTAAGGCCGCCCCAAAATTTTAGTAAAATAAATTTAAAAGGAAAAAAACCCCTTTAAGTATTAGGTTTTTGTTAAATTTTTTATAAAAAAATTTGATCAAATTTGACTTATTTATTATTTATGTAAATAAGTAAAAAGGTTACCTGTGATTTTTTATATAAGTACATATTTATATACACGATAATATTATTTAAATAAAATTTATTACAGCTTGAAAATTTAGAAATTGAAAATGAAAAACTTAAAAGTGATTTAACAGTACTTAGAGAATCTTTGGCAATGGGTGATCCAGGGACTAAAGAATTACTCAATCAATTTAGGGCCTCTGAAAAGGAATTAGGTAATGGCACTAGTTAATACTTATAATAATTAAAGATTAGTTTAAAAAAAAAAAAATTTAACGACATTATTAAAATTTAGATCGGAGGCGAGATGAAATAGTTCAACTTCGTACGGTATTGGCCACGCAAACCAAAGGTTTGAAAAATATAGCAAAAATAAATTACGGAAGTTCGAATGATGTTAATTTAGATGTGATTAATGAAGATGGAGAATTGATAATGGCTTTTGAAACTCAAAAGGGAATAATAAGGTAAATAATTAGATTCTTGTCTCTTTGTTTGACATTGCAATAATTATAATTTTATCATAAAACAATTTCAGGCAATTGGAAGAGGAATTGCAACT